GGGGGGCTAGCCTTTCTGCCCATTTTCCCTCCTGCAGCCTGAGGCCTCACCGTCCTCAGAGCTGCAAAATCCAATCCTTTTGACTAGCCGTTAACTGGCAACATAGTTCCCAGCGACTTGGAAGCTGGCAGCAACAGACGGCAATCCTCTATTCCCAGTTAGACGACTGACAGCAATGACAGACTGGCCAAATGTCAAGAAAGTTTTTTTGCTAGGGCTTTGGTTGATTAGGATTCCTGGAGCTCCTTTGCCCTCTGTGTGGCCCACCTCACCTCCCTCTGCCCAGCCCCAACCACCACCTGCCCTCCTGTGGAAACCCGACCACACTCTGCCGTATCAGGTTCCCACTAGAACTCTGCCACCCTAAAGGCACCCAATGGGAGTGTCTATTAAATAGCCTCCAATGACTTTAACCCTACACTAATTCGTTCCTCTCCCTAGTACTGCCCGTCCCCACCAAAACCGGAGGGAAAAAAACCCCCAAAACCTATCTGGGTAAATTGATAGCAATTATTTAATTTGCACAAGAAGCAGGAGAAATGAGGCAATTCTCGCCAACTACCCACAAGCATGGCTACTGAGCTAACACACATCCAGAACATTAATTTACAGAGGAGGAGGAGGAGGAGGACAGACAAGCAGCGAGCTGCTGCCCGCTACTCACCGCAGCTCTTGCACGCCTGCAACAGCCCCAAGCTCCCACTCTGGATCCCTTCCCCAGTTTGTTTTATACAAACACATGGCCACGTTGTTTGGTTCCTGTTGCTACAGGCAACCAAATAGAGAGTGAGCTAAGGAAACCACACCCTGTGTCTCAGAACCCGCCTTGAACTCTCACTCGGAACCAAGTGGACTCTGAAGTCAGACTCTATAAACAAAGCTCTGCCGACAGAGCCCCACGTCTAGACCAACCTCCGTGGGACACACAGACAGTCCCCTGGCACCCCTGCCTTCTCCAGAGAACTGACAAAAGAAGCAAACTAGCGAAACCCTTGTTCAAGGACAATTGCTTGGGACAGTTGGGTCATAGTCAAGAGCTTTACTAAGAAGAAAACTGAGCGGTTCCCTTAGACACAGGTTAGACACACAATGCAGGGACCCAATGACACTAGGGTGACTCTCCTTGAATGGGACTGCATTGACTTAAGTCAGCTTTTCAACAGCCTTTAGCCTCTGTGTGCCTGTGTGACATACTGGCACAGAGAGAACATGTTCAAAATCGCACCCCTTCATCCATTCCTGGGGTTCTGCCCCTTGTCACATAAAATCCTTGTCACTGCTTAGTGAAACGATGCACGAAACAAAGATTTACTTTCTTGTTAACAGCTGAGTGGAGAAACGAAATACATCTCCTCTAACAGTAAATGCTAAGGAAATGAATTTATCAGTGGTTTCTAAATGCCACTTGGCAGGAAAACAGACTTTGGAAGATTAGTCATTCCTGGCTTCCTGCGTGGCTAGTAAACAGAGCTGGTTTAGCACTTCAGAGACTATCTTCTTGGACCATATTTGAAAAATCCCTTACCAAGGTCTCTGTTGAGGGTAGCATGCTGAGCTGACTCATTTATCATCACTCGCTTGTGATGTCTTTCAGAGAAGGCATGGACTCCAAGTACTTTTACCTAGAGGCCCACAGAATGAGCTCCACCTCTTAGGAATTTTCCATCCTAGCTTTTTGGTCATTTTGAGATATTAGCGATATTAATAGAACTTAACATTTAAAACACTAGCAAACAAGGGCAAGTTCTGAAAAGACAAACCATCCTATAGTTTCTAGCACCGAGAGAGCTTACCCAATATGCCTTCCCCATTTGAAAATGACACACCTTCAAAGTTACATTACCAAATCCAGGTTCTTTGCTGGTTACCCTTCATAGCTCTAGAACACAAGGCACTCATCAATTGTAGGCTTCCAGATGACGTAACCATCCATGGCCCAACAAATACGGATGTACCAAAGTGTAAGGGAGAATCAATGCCCTAGAGTAAAGGGTCTTACACCACGGAAAGGGATGATTAAAACAAGCAACCCCAAATCAACAGAACTACTAAGAGAAGTGTTACGCCTCTTGGTTTTTTTGAGTTTTAGCTTTTGGCAACAGTTTTGTTTTCCTGCTAGGGTTAAAAAGTCCAGGGGTATCTTGTGTACACACCACCATATACCTAAACGCAAAAAGCCTGTATCCAGATGGAAAAACAGATTTCACAAGGTCGTCTTCTTTTGGAACTTGATTTTGACAGTTGACTTAAGCCTGGTGTGTGTGTGTGTGTGTGTGTGTGTGTGTGTGTAAACATTTATTTGTCAAGATAAAATAGGCACTTCTAGGAATGTTGACTTTATTGCCTAATAAGTAAACAAGCTGGAAATACTTAAAGTATGTTAACAATGTCTAACAAGTACTTTTTTTGTTGCAATAAATCTAATGAAGTGGAACTTTGGGCAACCTGAATTAGCTCGCTGCATGTTTTCCTGTCATTGATTTCCCTAACGGTACGATGATTTAGTACAAAAGGATCTCAAGCCTTTACATGGCATGTTTATGATGTTAGAATAAGACATTCCTACTGAAGAGACAGTTCCCATGTCAAAAAGGTTAATGAGTCTAAGAAAGTGGCTTAGAAAATAAGAATAATGTGACAGGCAAAAATTAAGAGGTCCCAAAAAGGAAAAAAAAAAAAAGGATTCCAAGTAATTTTATATTAAAATAACACATAGAGACCCACAGAAAGAGTCCCACTTCTTGGGAATTTTTTATCCTAGCCCTCTGGTAAAAATATAAGTATAATGTAAAAATTAAAATACTAGCAAACAGTGAATACTACATAAAGGTGATTGGAGGCTCTGAAAATAAGACAAATTATACATGGGTCCCAGCACTTAGAGATCTTATCCAATAAGATCTTCTCACTGTAAAACCACTTTCTTTCAGGAGCCCTGATGGCACAGTGAGCTATTAACTGCAAAGTAAGTGGTTCAAACCCACCAGTAGCTCTGTGGGAAAAAGATGAGGCTGGCCGCTCCCATGAAGATTTACAGTCTTGCAAACCCCAAGAGGCAGTTCTACACTATCTTATGAGGTCACTATCAGTCTGCATCAATTCGATGGCAGTGAGTTGCCTTCTTAAGTTAGAAAATATATGGATTTGTAGGTCGTGTTAGAGTATGGACTTCAGGACTTGATTCTAGGGGGCGAGCAAAGCTCTACACTTTTTCACTTGGTTAGAAATAATTAAATGCAGACAGAAAAATGACGATGACCTTTAGATGTCTCTTCTCTTGCATTCCCAGTAAAGTTACTGAATTGCATACACTTCAGCATTTCATCTTTTAGGTAGTCATTTTTTAAATCCCCCCATAGCAATATCTAAGTTCTTGATATATGAAGCCTTGGAACCTTCTAAGTCTTCCAGATAGGTTTGCTGTTATCTGGAAAAGAGCATGCCACCAATCAGCACACAAAACATTTGATTGATATCTGATCATTGTAGTACTAATGCTACTTTTTTTCCTGGCTAGTTTTCGGGGTGGGGTGTGTGTGGAGAGGTCAAGGGTATGATATCTGCCCTAAGGCAGCTCTTAGACTATTGTAATGCCTTCGTCTGTACACAATAGTGATTTTTTCTCTATCACAGGAAATTCTGCAAATACACTTTGGGCGCCCAGGGGAACCTTAGGATTGGAGTCACACAACAGCACATGCCAGCTGATTGACAAATGGGGAAAAGTTGCCTCCATTAAGCGTCTAACTTAAAAAAAAAAACCTTTATTGGAAGCATTTTATAGCCTAAATTTAAGTTCCATCTTCAATTAATTAACCAACTTCCACTTTCAGAACATTCCTGAACTACATCCAGCATGCTAAGAGTTACCTAAATAAATCTCCATAGCTCAATGAAAAGTTTTGGCTTCCAGGTTAATGGTGTACATAGAAGAGTTATGTAATATTGTCACATTTGTTGTTTTATTTGCATTTGAGTCTTGCTTGTTTTTATATGTATTTTTCTCATGTGTTTCTTACTAATGGTCATTTTCCACCTGATGTCCCAGGGGCTGAAAAGAAGAGTATTTAAGGAAAAGTAAATTTTATGACAAGTAGCATGTTTCAAACTATGTGCTTTTCCCTGTGTAGTACGACGTACAGTGCAAACCATAGACAGTAATCCAAATGGGGAAGAAAAACCAATTCAGGTTATTTCTAGTCTGCTAATTGCAAAGTCCAACATACCCATACATTAGACATTCCACATGTAAATATTGGCTTCTAAAGAAAGGATATATGGCTCTCCTGAGAATATTCAACAAACGGAATGAAGCCTTAGGAGATGAATAGGACACTCGTGTAAAAGACATGATAATGTACCTGGAGGTGTCGTCAGACGTTTGGGAATCAATACCTAAATAGCTGCGAAGAGACGGAGCTCTTGAGTCGCAGCTGAGAAATAGTCATTCCTAACATCAGAAAGTGTTTTTCCTCTACAGAATGAGGCCATGCTCTAAGCAAACTCACTTGTAGTTTACTCTTAGAAAAAAAACAACAA